TTCAGCGAGATCTTTGCAGGTGCGGCCTCTGTGACCCGATGTGTTGCCGCTTTGGGTTTCTCCGTGTGCTGTCCCATTGACATTTCCTTTGATGTTGAGTTGGACATGAAAGCTGTGCATGTGATTGAATGGTTGATCCACCTGATTGCAAACCCTCTCATTAAAGCCTTTTTGTTGGAGCCACCCTGTACCGCTTTCTCGGTTATGCGTCGGCCTGCTTTTAGGTCCCGTCTGTGTCCTTTTGGTTTTGACCCTGTGTTGGCGCATCGCTCCTTCCAAGCCATGGAAGCGGAAGCGGGCGAGTATCATGGAGTGACAGGGGCCCTTGAGAATGCTTGGGCTTCCAAAATCATGCTTCTGCCTGGGTGGGGTGTCCTAGCTGCAAAGGCTGGGTGCCAGGTGATTCGATGTGATTCTTGTGCATATGGGTCCATCCATCTTAAGAGCTTCGCTTTCATGTGTGTTTGGGCTGATGTGAGACCTATCTCTAAAAGGTGTTCTGGTGACCATGAACACGTGCAGATTCAAGGAACCCTTACAGAGAAGTCGGCAACTTACGTGGAAGGGCTTGCGGAGGCTTTGGCAGAGGTCATGGCCATTGGCATTGAGAGAGCCAAAAAGTTTGAGGAGGAAATTGCAGTTCCCCGTGCAGTAGGGCTGGAGAACCAGCTCGTCAATGAGCTTGGTATTTCGCTCAACTGGCAACTGCATCTTGGACTTTTAAGGTGTCTTCACATATTAATATCCTTGCGCTTGCAGTGGTGGCGCGCCTCATGTCCAGCCTGGTCAAAGCCGGAAAGTCTTTTCGCGTTGTCGTGTTAGTGGACTCCAATGTTGTGAAGCGCGCAGCTTCCAACGGTAGGTCTTCTGCGAAGCCCCTCCAAAGGTCTCTGTGTCGTCTTGCAGCTTTGGCTATTGCAGGTGGAATCTACATGGTCTTTGGATTTTTGCCGACTAGATGGAACCCAGCCGACGATCCTACGAGGGATACGGTTATCCGAGGTTCGGTGCCTGGTTTGGATTTGGACTCTTGGTTTCCCGCGAATATCTTCAGACTGTCTGCCTTGCCTCGTCTGCGTCGTTGGGCTTCTAGCTGGGCCCGTCTGGTTATGCTGCTGTGTGGCCCTGGCGTGCTCAGCTTGGCTGATGCTGTCCTCGTTTCCCTTATGGTTTGTCTTCCAGCTGTTCTGGCAACTACCTGGCTCCTGCCTCTTCCATGGATTTTGATTCCACCTGTGGTTTCCCTGGTGAAGGTCCCTTTCCTGGCCTCATCAGTCACATGTATCTTTTTGCGTGGATTTCGGTAGTTAGCTTTTGTAGTTTAGGTTGCCATGGCGTTTTCCCGTCGAGAAACTCTGGAGATATCTTTCGCCAAGCACAAAGGCAATCTCGTCCTCCTCTTCAAGCAGGCCGGCCAGTTCTGGGTATTACAAACCAAGCCCGTGATAGTTTTCTTGAACGGTTTGGGAAGTGGCTTAAGGCCCTTGGTATTTCTCTCGGTGATCTGCTGGCCGACCATGTTCACAGAATTGATGAGATCAACAGTTTGCTGGTTCGCTATGGGCGAAACCTTTATGGGGTTGGTCGGCCATATAACCACTACGCTGAGACGCTTAATGCGATAGCGTCATGGAAACTTATACAAATTATATAAATGATATAAATGATATAAATGGTATACATGATATAAATGATATACATGAATGATATAATTGATATAACTCATTTAACTGATATAAATTAAATGATATAAATGATATAAATGATGCAAATGATACAAATGATATAAATGATCTAAATGATACACATGATAAAAATGATATAATGATGTATATGATATAAATGTTAGAAATGATATACATGACATCACTATATTAGCATATAAAGTGAATACCTATATATATATATAGAAAAATAAAATAAATAAATAAATAAATAAAAAAAATAAATAAACAAATAAATGAATAAATAAATAAATACATATATATATAATAGATATATAGATATATGGATGTATGGAGATATGGATATGTGGACATATGCATATATGGATATGTGGACATATATCTAGATATATAGATATATAGATATATAGATGTAAAGATATACGGGTCTTGCGCCTTTGGGCTGGGTGTGATTTCATTGGACGGGGAGGACCCCGGGGGCGGCACTAAGGGTTTGTTCCTGACGAGCACCCCTCATCCCCTCTCCCACGCAGGTGCAAGAGTGACAGTGCCCCGTTAGCTGCTGACTGCTCTTGGCTTTCTGCGCGCTGTTTTTGCGTTTCGTGCTTTCAGGCTTTTGTCCACAGCGGTTTGGGGCTTCTGCTCCTCCTGGAGTGCCGTTTGTTTTGCAGTTTATGTGGTCCTGCCCCTTCTGTTGCGTTTCTCTTCCTCTTGGTGGCTGTGGTTGGCACTGGTCCTTTGTTGCTGGTCACTGCTGTTGGTGTTTGTCTTTTGATGCCCAGGGCCTTCTGCATGCTGGGGTGTTTTTTTTCTTTCGGTGGTTGTGGTTGGTGGCTGTCCTTTGGCGCTCTGGGGCTTCTGCCCGCCTGGGGTGTTCGTCTTCTTCCCTTGGGCCATTGGGTGGTTGCGTTGGCGTTTGTCTTGTGGCGTTTGTCTTTTGGCGCTCTGGGGCTTCTGCTTTCTCTTCCTCTTGGTGGCTGCGGTTGCCATTTGTCCAATGGTCCTCTGCGGCTTCTGCTTATGGTTGGTGTTGCGTTTTGCGCTTCGGGTCTTCTTCTTCTTCTTCTTTCTTTGTCTTCTTCTTCTTCTTCTCTTCCTTTTTCCTTTTCTTCCTCTTCTTGGTTTTCTTCTTCTTTGTCTGTCTGTGTTCTCTGGTCTTCTTCCTGCTTCCCTTGCCTGGTGTCTGGCCTTCCCTTGGGCTTGGCTTGGTCGGCCCCACCTGACCTTGTTCTTGTTCTTGTTGTTGTTGTTGTTGTTTCTTGTTCTTGATTTGTCCTCAATTGTGTGGGGTAGGTGGTGGTGGTGGCGGTGGTGGCGTCGGCTGCGGCCGGCAGCGGCAGTGGTGGTCGGCGTTTTCTCGCCTTTGGTGTGAGGTCAGCGTTTGTTCGCTGGCGTGGTGGTGGCTGGCGTTTGTTCGCCTTTGGTTTTGGCGTGGTTGGTTGGTGGTGGCATTGGCTCGCCTGTGGTGCCCCCCGTGTTTGCTGGCTGGGTAGGTGGTTGGCGTTTGTTTGATTTGGTTCAGTAGCTGCTGCAGGTCTCGTAGTTGCGTGTCATGGATATGCTCTCTCAGGTTTGGGGAGCTGTCTAGGCCTACACTCTCCTTGTCCGTCTCAGTGTGTCGGTCGATATGCTTCTTTGGAGGAATTCACGGGTGTCTGCCGGCGAAGCGCGGTGAGTTGAAGAAGTTCGTTATATAGTCACTCCGGTTGTCTTGCTCCAGTCTGATGTGTGTGGCTACTCTGGGTCTTGCTGGTGCTGGCATCCTAGTCCTTTCTAAATGGTGTTTTGTCCTGCTGAAGTCACCCCGCGTGGCAAGTCTGCTACCATTGCTTTGGGCTGTTGGTGTGCTCCCGTTTGTAGGCACTGCCTCGAAAAGTGGCCTGTCATTTTGAAGAAGTTCGCCAAGGGCAGGCTGCGAATCTCACCTTGCCTAGTGGCATGGTCTTGCCCGTGATTGCGGTGCATAGTCCCAATGGTGCTTCCTCGCATGGGTTTGATTCTTCCACCGAGCGGGTTGCGGTCGGTTGGTGTTTTGGGTGCGGCCTGGCTTGGCTTGTGCTTAGCTAAAGGCTGGTGCCCAGTCACGGTTGGAGATTTTAACTCGTCAGTGGCTCTTTCTTGGGATTGTTCGGGGCCTTCTTTTGTTTTGAGTCCTTCCTCCCTTGTTCCTGTTTCTGCTCTAAAAGGCCACCAGAAGCTGGCGGGGAGGGCAGCAATGACGTTTCCGGAGCTGACCCTGGGATCTGCTGGTGGAGGTTGTGCCTGTGGACCACAGCTACTGCTGTGAGTCGTTCAACCAACCAACCATATAATTATATATATGTATATACATAGATACAGATATTTATGGATATATATATAGATATTAAAGATATATAGAAATAAAAAATAAAAAAGAAAATAAATAATAATATAAATCCATATATATATATGGATATATATATATATGGATATATATATATGGATATATATATATCTACAAATAGATATAGGTATATAGATATCTAAATACAGATATTTAGATTTAAAGATATATAGATATATGCATATAAAGATATGTTGATACATAGGTTTATTGATTTTTATAGAAATATTTAGACATACATATATATATATATGTAGAGATATAGAGATTTAAATATAAATATATCGATATCGATTCAATGATATAAAGGTATTTAGATATATGCAGATATATCTAGATATGCAGAATATATATATATATATATATAGATACATTTTTGAAATGTATATATAGATATTCAGAAATATAGATATTTACATATGTAGATATATAGATGTATGGATGTATAGATATAGGATTTATAGATACAGAGATATACAGATATATAGATATAAATAGATATTGAGACATGTAGATATATTTGTTTATTTAAAGATATATACATATATAGATATATAGACATATAGATAAGTATTTAGATAAATAGATATTTAGGTATACAGATATATAGATATAAAAATATTTTATAGGTTCAACGGTTCAACAGGTATGATCATAGAAAGCATATAGATATTACATAAATGTCATATAGATATTTTATAAATATTTTGTAGGTTTTTAAAAGACATTGCAAAAATATTATCGGATATTTTTTAGATATTTCAAAGAAAATTTGGAGAGATTATATAGTATGCAAAAAAGTAAAGAAATGATGATATATATATATAATACATACAGACATACACATAGATGTACACATGTATATATACATATACTGTGCATATGTGATTTGTGTAGGTAGTATATTGCTAGAGTTCATCAGTCAGGGGTCAGCCTGCGTAGAGACGCAGGAGGTTCCCTTGCTCCCGTGTCAAGTGCCTGAGGAGGACCCTCAGTGTTGTGAAAATTCCTTGCGGCGATTGAACTGAGTCAGATAATTCAATGAGTCGCCTGCGGAAGAGAAACGAACAGAACTGGACTGGAAAAGACCTAGGCAAATTCAAATAATGACCACCACAGCTCACTCACCCACATTTGAATGTATACACACATATACACACATATATATATATATTGATTGATATGTATGTATGTATGTACTGTAATGTAATGTAATGTAATGGAGTGTAGTGTAATGTAATATAGTCTGTATGTATGTATGTATGTATGTATGAAAGTAAGTATGTATGAATGTATGTATGTATGTATGCATGTATGTATGTTTGCATGTTAGTTAGTTATGTATGTATGTATGTATGCATGCATGTATGTATGTAACTTTGTTTGAAATGTAATGAAATGGAATGTAAATGTGATGTAGTGTATGTACTGTATGTAATGTATGTAATGTATGTA